TTTATTTATTTTGGATTAGCCGGTCGCCCCCCTCCCTCGGCGGCGCCCCGGGACCCAGCAGAGGCTTCTGTCTGCGCAGCTGGAGCGGGCGAGGGCCTGGGGTCGCCACCGGGTTTCTATTCTCATGCTCCCTCCTTTGCTCTGCCCCCCCCTTTTTTTTTTAAGAAACTGTTTTTTAAACTATTTCTAGGTTTGTGAATGTGAAGCCCCAGGCCGCAGGGGGTCAAGGGCCAGGCGCCCCCACCAGCTGAGAACAAAACGGCTGGCGGGTGGGGCCCTGGCCACCTCCCCAGGCCGGAGAGGACTAGGCCAGGCCGAGCCCCTGGACCCCTGTCCTGTATCATATGTAAATACTGCGGGTGCAGCCCCCAGCCCAGACCCCTGGGGTGAGGGCAGCGCCTGCCCACCCAGCAGAGGTCCCTCCTGTCTCTGTCCCCTCCTCAGACACCGTTACTGTAAGCTTGCAGGCCTCCTCTGGCCGAGGCAGGCCCGTTCTCTCAGGCCCTAGGGGTCAAGGCCTTGGGCCTGCTCACCCCGAAAACCCAGTGTGGGGGCGAGGGGCGAGGGAAGGGAAGGGCTCGCCCGGAATCACTGCTGGAAAGAAATTAGCTCTCCAAAGGCTCCCCTGCCCCTGCCTAGGTCGGGCCTCATGGTTTCTGCTCTGAGCCCCCGTGAGTGGGCATCAGGGAGCACTTGGGAAGGGGCGGACCCAGGGGAAAGCCAAGGGCTTCTCAGGGAACCCCCACATTCTCACTGAAGTATCTCACCAGGATGGCCCCATGGCCAGAGCCCCTTGTCAGCCCCTCACCCCGAGCCCCCTTCAAAGGAAAGAGGCTCAGGGCCTGACTTGGGGAACAGGCTGGTGTGGCCGAGCCGAGGCCCCCTCGCCCCTCTGTGTCCGTCCCCCAGGCCTGAGGCTGGGACCTGTGCCCCCTCCTCCTCAATCCCCACCTTAGACCCCTTTGGAGAGTTAATTGTCTGTGTGAGGTGCTTAACCTATTAGCCCCGAGAACACAAAGCAATAATCTTTGTTACTGAGATGCGCGGCTGTTCGTGGTTTTTTTTTTTTTTTAATGTTTCCTAATAAAAGAGAAGCTGCAATTTATTGTTTTTTATTTTTAATTTTCTACACATTCGAGCTGAGTCATGAGAGACTTCGCTCTCCCCTCCCTTCCCGTGACGCCCCACCCCGACCCCTCTCGGCCCATCCATGGGCTCAGGGCCCTGGAACTCCGTTTTCTGATTTGTTTGGGGAATTTTTTTTAAAAGATGTTACATGGTGTTTTGAAGCCAGCAAGTTACCACCCTCCGGTGTCTCTTCTCTCCACATCTGTAACTTCTTTTTCCAGGATTTATTTCCAGTTTTAAATTCCTAATAAATTATTCGAAAACGGTGCTGGGCTTGGGAGTGTTCTGTGTCTGTGTGCAGTCAGGCCTCGTTTGCCGATGACACCGTTTTCATGTTCCCTTGTTTTCCTCCCAGAACAATATTTGGTTCACACCTACGGAAACGTGCCCTGGTCGGGTGGCTCAACTGGTTGGAGCATCGTCCCAGACCCAAAAGGTTTCAAGTTCGATTCCCAGTCAAGTCCCATATCCAGGCTGCTGCTGATCCCTGGGAAGCAACCAACCAACCAATGCTTCTCTCACATGGATGTTTCTCTCCCTTCATCTCTCTCTAAAAAGCAGTAAAAACATATCTTCAGGCCCGGCCAGAGCGGGGCAGTGGTTGAGTGTCAACCTATGATCCAGGAGGTCATGGCTCGATTCCCAGTGGGGGGTGTGCAGGAGGCAGCCGATTGATTATTGATTCTCTCTCATCATTGATGTTTCTATCTCTCCCTCTCCTTTCCTCTCTGAAAGCAATATATATATAACATATCCTCAGGTGAGGATTTTTTTTAAAAAAAAAACACGTAGCTTATTTGGATATGATTTGGAAAAACTATCAAAAAGATATTTTGAGACAAAAACCTCTAAAAATGGCCAAAACCGGTTTGGCTCAGTGGATAGAGCGTCGGCCTGCGGACTGAAGGGTCCCAGGTTCGATTCCGGTTAAGGGCATGTACCTGGGTTGCAGGCACATCCCCAGTGGGAGGTGTGCAGGAGGCAGCTGATCGATGTTTCTAACTCTCTATCTCTCTCCCTTCCTCTCTGTAAAAAATCAATAAAATATATTTAAAAAAAAAAAAAAAAAAAAAACCTCTAAAAATGGTCTTATTTTTGTTAGGTGTGACCATGACATTGTAATTATATTTTTTACAAATTTCTCCTTGAAAGCTTTTTTTCTCAGATCAGAGGCAAATATATATGAATCTGAAGTCTATATATATATTGATCTTGAGAGAGAGAGATAGAAACATCAATGATGAGAGAGAATCATTGATCGGCTGCCTCCTACACACCCCACACTGGGGATCAAGCCCACAACCATGTGCCCTGACCGGGAATCGAACCATGACCTGTTTCATAGGTCGAAGCTCAACCACTGAGCTATACCAGCTGGGCCTGGCCACTTCTATTCAACATAGTATTGGAAGTCCTACCCAGAGCAATTAGGCAAGAAAAAGGAATAACACCATCCATATTGGAAAGGAATAAGTAAAATCTGTTTGCAGATAACATGATCTTATATGTAAAAAAACAAACAAAAAAAACCTCCAAAGATTACACACACAAACACAACTAATAAAAGAATTCATCAAAGTTGTTGGATACAAAAATCAATTGTGTTTCTACACATTAACAATGAACAATCAGAGAAGTAAATTTAAAAACAATGAACTTAAGCAAGGAGGTGAAAGACTTGTACAGTGAAAACTACAAAATAATGCTGGAAGAAATTAAGGCACAAATAAGTGGAAAGACATCCTATGTTCGTGGATTGGAAGACTTAATGCTGTTAAGATGTCCATACTACCCAAAGCGACCTGCAGGTTCATCGCAATACCTATCAAAACCCCAATGGCATTTCTAGCAGAAATATAAAAATTTATTCTAAAATTCATACAGAATCTCAAGAGACCCCAAACAGTCCAAACAATTTTGAAAAAGTTGGTGGTTCACACTTTCTGATTTCAAAATATGTTACAGCCCGAGCCGGTTTGGCTCAGTGGATAGAGTGTCAGCCTGCGGACTGAAAGGTCCCGGGTTTGATTCTGGTCAAGGGCACATGCCCGAGTTGCGGGCTCAATCCCCAATTTGGGGCGTGCAGGAGGCAGCCGGTCAAATGAGTCTCTCTCATTGATGTTTCTAACTCTCTCCCTCTCCCTTCCTCTCTGAAATCAATAAAAGTAAAAATATGTTACAAAAGCTATAATAATCAAAACAAGGAGGTACTGGCACAGAGACACAGAGACAGATGAGCCAAGAGGATAGAAGAGAAAACCCAGAAATAAACCCTCACTAATATGGCCACGGGCGCCAATGTGGAAAGGAATGTCTCCAGCAAATGGTATTAGGAAAACCTGATATAAGGACCCTTATCTGACACCATCTACAAAAATTAGCTCAACATGATATTAAGACCTAGATTTAAGATCTGAAACTATAGGAGAGAGAGACCAAGATGGCGGCATAGGTAAACACCGCAGACTGCTGCTGCAAACAACCACTTCAAAAATACAACTAAAAGACGGAACGGACATCACCCAGAACCGCAGGAAGGCTGGCTGAGGAGAGACTCTTCAACTAGAAGGAAAAATAACAGCACACCGAGGCTCAGAGGAGGCGCAGTGTGGAAAATACTCAGGTGCGGAGGTGCGCGCGCAAAGCGGGCTGGTGGCTGAGAGCGCGGTTGTCGTTTTCGGTCAGGGGGGAGTCTCAGACTCTGAGCTCCAGATACGGGCGAATCGCTGGGGACTCGGACCCAAACGGGAGAAGCGGGAGTGTCTGGCATCAGTTGGAAGGCAGCTTTCCCTCCGAGGTTTGCAGCGGTTCCGGGGGTTCTGAGAAGCAGAGCCTCTGGGAACAGGACTGAGGGCACCATAACGGCTCCCTCCGCCCGCCCTGTTGAGCCCGCCCCGCCCAAGCCCTGCGCAGAGCCATTTGCCGGATCGCCTCAGGCAAAGGCTAGATTAGCACCTCCCCAGAGGACAGAAGTTTTCCCTACAAAAATTAGCTCAACATGATATTAAGACCTAGATTTAAGATCTGAAACTATAAAACTCCTGTAGAAAACATAGGGAAAGCTTCGTGGCGCTGGAGTTGGCAATAATTTCTTGGAACCGACATAAAAAAGTACAGGCAACAGCTGGCCGGCGTGGCTCAGTGGTTGAGTGACGACCTAGGGACCAGGAGGTCATGGTTTGATTCCTGGTCAAACATGACTGTGTTGTGGGCTCAATCCGCAGTAGGGGGCGTGCAGGAGGCAACTGATCAATGATTCTCTCTCATCATTGATGTTTCTATCTCTTGCTCCCTATCTCTTCCTCTCTGAAATCAATAATATATATATGTTTGTTTATTTATTTTTTTAAAGCACAGGCAGCAAAATAGACATATTGGGACTACTTCAAACGTGAAAACTTTTGTGCATCCAAGGACACAACAAAGTGAAAGGCAGTCTGAGGACTGGGGGAAAATATTTGCAGATCAGCTGTCCGAGGAGAGGTTAATATCCAGCATATCTTTCTGGGGATGGACAAGAGAGGTAGCGAATGGATGCCGCTAGGAAAGTTAGGAAACTCATAAAATCCAGGTGCTGAGGATGGTGACTTTGGGTGTGGAAAATGGTGTAGGTGCTCTGGTTTCCTGCCTCCGTTTGCTCATCTGTGATAGCAGTGACAGCAGGCTAACCTGTGTGAAGCTCTCAGTACTCAGAGGATTTGCTGCTGCTCTTGTTGCCATTATTATTATTATTATTGTCGTTATTATTAAAGAGAGCCCTGGACAAAGAGGCAGGCACACACAGGTTCAATTCCTATCTCCACCCCTCTCAAGGTGCAACTTTAAGCAAGTTACTTAAGCTCTTTGGACCTGTTTTGTCATCTGTAACTAGGGGAAGATGATGAAACAATAGCTGTGCCAGAAGGTTAGGGCTGAAAACCAGTGTATAGAGAGCCCGTAGCACAGTGCCAGGCACACAGAAGCACTCACCAAACGGCAGCTGCTTTTAGGCATTTCCTGGAAGCAGGACCGTGTCTTCCAGGGGCCGGGCCGGTGTGACCTTGCTGGGTGTGGGTGTGCGTCACCTGAAGGAGCCGAGAAGCTATCCTTAGCTGTTTTTCCACTGGAGCGTGTGATTTCCCAGCTGGGAGCAGCCGGGCGGTACACACCTGTGCATGAACCTGGGCAGCAGAAGGTCAGGGCACAGAGTGCAGGGGCCTGAACCAGGCTCTCCACCTCTGTGTCCCCTGCAGAGGTTTGCACTGTCAAGTTAGCAGGTCTCTTTCCAGGAACAGAATGTTCGATTGCATGTGGGAATTTGTGCAGCCTGCCTTTGTGGAAAGCCTCCAGCTGGCTGGGGGAGGGGGCGAAAAGGAGGGAAGTGGGCAGGACTAACCCTCCTCTGGCCTCCAGGGGCTTTCCACGCTCCCACCCACGACTACAGTTCCCTGTCATGAGATGATATTGTGGTGTAAGCACCAGACCCAACTCACCGCTTGGTCCTGCTGTGTGACATTGGAGCAGTTCCTTAACCTCTCTGAGCCTATAATTGTCTTCTCTGTAAAATGGAGTTTGTAATTGGACCCACCTCAGAGGTCTGTGCCAGGTTCTTAGCCTGGGACCTGGAATAGAGTTAGCGCTCGGTTAAATGGTAGTTAATCCTATTAGCCTAGAGCAGCGGTTCTCAACCTGTGGGTCTCAACCCCTTTGGGGGTCAACCGACCCTTTCACAGGGGTCGCCTAAGACCATCGGAAAACACATGTACAATTACATATTGTCTTTGTGATTAATCACTATGCTTTAATTATGTTCAATTTGTAACAATGAAATTGGGGGTCACCACAACATGATGAACTGTATTAAGGGGTCGCGGCATTAGGAAGGTTGAGAACCACTGGCCTAGAGGGTTTGGTAGCACCAGCTAAGCCTCCTTTCTCAGACACCCCCACCGGAGCAGTGCCTGGTCCTCTTCCATTCTGACCCCAAAGAACCCACATGGGGGACTCAGCATTCTGCGGGCCACGCCCTCCCTTTCCCTGGGCAGCCTTCACTCATCCCGGAGGCTGCAGGGGCAGCGCCATTCATCAGCTGGCCCTCCTTTCCCTCTCACAGCCCCCCCCCCCCCCCCCCCCCTCTGCGACATCCTGCCCAGCTGTCCCCTCGAACCTGCTGTGATGATGACAATATTCTGTCTGCGCCGCCCACTATGACAGCCACTAGCCACAGACATGTAGCGGCCGAATACCCGAAATGCGGCTCGTGTAACTGAGAAGCCGATTTTTACTAGTATTTGATTGTAATGAATTGCAATAGCCCCTGTGCTGGCTGGTGGCTACCGTATTGGACAGATGTAGAAACGGATGAAGGACAGGTGGCAGGGAAACCCGAGCCCAAGGGGGCAGACTCAGGCCTAAGCAAATCAACCACTCCCCCTCCGGCCTCAGTTTCCCCGTCCGCCTGCTCAGTGCTGTGTGGTGCCCCCTCAGCTGAAGGACCTTTCCTGGGACTTGAGATGAAACAGGTGATGACTTGCTCCTGCCGCCTGAGCGAGGGAAGCACACGGATCCCGGGGGTGAGCAGGGCCGGGCAGGTGAGGCCCACTGACTGCGCCGCACACACAGGACCTCGCCTGCGGGTGGA